AGATTGAGACACTTTCTTTGCTTCCCTGTGTGTATGTATGTATAAAATGTGTTTTTTTTTTTTTTTTTTTTTTTTTTTTTTTATTATTATATACACATTGTTCTGATCAAATTCTGTCAATTAAATGTAACTACTGTCAAAATATATTTTTTTATTATTTGTTTCTATATGCCCATACAGACAAAAGCTGTTGTAATAAAGACACACCTACAAAAAAACCTGTTCTGGTGAATAATGACATTACTACAGGTGTAATAAGTCCTGAAAGGCGGTAAGTGATCACAAGCTTTTTCATTCTCAAAATTAGTAGAACAATAAACTTTCCTATTTTTTCAAACTGTTCAAATTTATTAGTCCATACAAAAACTTTTACAGAGTTTCCAGTCTTGTTTGTCCAAACGTTTTAGTCCCTCCTTTTGCACCCTTTTTTTTTTTTTTTTTTTTTTTTTTTTTTTAAACACATTCTTTTATACAGAGTTTTTAATACATTTTGTGTATGAAATGTTGGCACACCTTTGCCAATATTTCATGCAAAAAAAAATTGCATTTTTTTTCAGCCAGAGAAGATTTATTTATGCACCCTCTGATTAAATTGCATATTAAGGACTTGGCTTCCATGATATCCAAACTAAGTGATTCTGAAGACTTAAGGTTTTTTTTGTTTTTTTTTCCCTTGGAGCATTCTATACATTAAGGTTAAAACCTTCCAGTTTTTGCTTCCACACGATTCCCCCAACCTCCACAAATACCTGGTTCCTGTACTGCACCAGCTGTCTGCCCATGAGCATAACTGCTTTTTCTCCCTCTCTCTCACACGCACAGAGGCAGCAGTGGAAGCCATTGGCTCCTTCTGTTGTCCACCAAATCCTGTGAGGAGAGAGGCCAAGCTACAAGTTTCTTTGGACACACAGAGCCTGGCTTGGGTGCGAGCCTGTGCACCTGTCCCCATAGCAAGCATCTGTTATGGGGGTAGACACAGAAGAGGAGGACCCGAGAATGTCCACAAGGGACCCTTGAAAAGGAGGTTCAGGAGGGCTCTGTGCAATACCATTGCACAGTTCAGGTGAGTATAACATTTATTTTAATTTAAAAAAATGCCCGTAATAATGCTTTAAGTCTGTCTGTTTTTAATGAAGAGGTTGTAAGTGAGTACTGGTGTGTAGCTCAGAAGTCAGCTCTTAGAAACAAACTACATCTGGGATTACACATTGGAGGACTGCTCAAGATTTTAGCAGATGCAAAACGTTTGAATATGTGTTAAGATGAAGCATAGTATGTGGTGTGTTGCAGTGCCATTCATATTGAACTCCCCCAAAAAGTTATGTCTGTTAAGGTATTTGTTTGAATTATCACTGTTATCCAGCTATTATAATCTTACTGTTCAGGTTTGGACAGGATGTTCAAAATGTCTCGAGCCCCCCCCTTTACACCGACATATCCCCCTTTTGGATATATGGTGCACCCTACAGTTGCATAATTTCCTGTCATATCCCCTGCTGCCTATGTCTTTTTACTGTCCTGTGACTCCATTTGAAAAATTATGTATAGCTTTGGGCCCTGTTAAACATTTTGTTATATGCTTTACTGATCACCCCTAGTGCAGAAAACTCCCATCTATCTCGAAATGGGCAGGAAGACCTTTTTGTCTCCTCTCCTGCTCAAATAGACAGAATTCTATACTTCATACACAAATCCTCAATTTAAAACCATACATGTAAAGTGCTATCCTCAGTGTTGACAAACATTAAACTTAAGTAATGTTCCTTTAAATCTACAATGCAGTACATTCAATTTATGTTTGAAATAAAGTCACAAAATCAAAATTCTCTTGTGGCAGGATGCAAGCTAACCAATCCAGCCACCTCCACCAGTAAAGATAGCCAAACTCCCTACCCTGTAAAAGGACCTCTATACTGTATCTCAAGGAGGTCAGAAAGTGCTGCTTGTTATACCACCATTCCATGTTCCTTCCTGCTCCAGACTCGCTCAGATGTTTTTTCCTGGATCTCATTGAGAATATACAGGACCCACATGGATGGTTTCCAGGGCATATATCCGACACCACAGGACCATGGGACTGCAGGTATTCAGCCACTCAGGCTGCTACACCTCTTCCCGCATGGACCATAGAATTAAAAAGGAAGCACACTGCATATAGTTTGATAATGTTTAAAAGCTGCTATTTATTCTTGGTATTTACTTTCAAAAATTGTGTGCAAAATCAGCAAATATTTAAATAATACTTGCGATAAACAAAATCGACCTCTGCAACCAGTGCGCATGAATAAAAATAATGATGTCAGACACAGCCCCGCCCACCTGACGTGGCATTCGGTTACAAATAATGTTTTCGGGAAATGGAATTATGGTGCTTCCATTTACTGGCACAAGAGAATGGATTTTTTTTGTTTTCATAAGCACTTTTGTGGGGCTTTTTATCACTGTATTATTTTGAATATAAAAAGGTAACAGAAGGAATTAAAAAAAATGTCCCATATGGAAAAAAATTGACTTTACTGGTGCCAAGAAGGACATACAATTGTTTTAAAACCACTTCACATGAGCTTATTGTGTTTATAAAAAAAATACATTTTAAAACTAATACTGGGGAGATATCTCCAGTTGTACAGACCACTTAAAGTGAAGCATATACAGTTACAACGTTTTGAATCACTCCTTGATTTAATAGTACAAGAGGTTGATGCGTTTCACAAAAGTTGATTCTTCAGGACCTCAGTTCTTGAAAAGGGGAGTGAATGATTTCTATATTGCTTCAAAATGTCAGGTGCGGGCAGTGTAGCAGCAACTGAAGGCGATGTGTTGTACCCCAATGTGACCAAGCAACCTCTATTGTACTTTATGGATGTAGTCATTTAGAGGTTCAGCCAATAGCAAGGCACATTTCTATTTCAATGTTTTTTATTAATTTTTTAAACAGTATAAAACAGAGGCAATAAAACACGCCCACGCATGGGGCTATCAATTGCACAGATAAAAAAAAAAAATGCAAAATAAAAAAAAAACAAGGAAAAACAGTGCTCTAACGCTAACAGGGCAAAAGGTACACCCATGCAGGGGCTATCAATGGCACATAAGTTACAAAACATTAATGTAACTGACTATAACAACTAAATGCAGCTGTCCAGTCACACCAAAAGCAGAGGGAGAGAGAGAAAGGAAAAAAAAAAACGGGCAAAGAGCAGGGGTCCAAGAGCGCCAATACCGAATGCCATTACATCCCCAGACTAGCCGGGGGGAGTGTGGGAAAGGCATATTGCAACCACGGCTCCCATATTTTCAAAAATTTACGTTGGGAGTCATTGCAGATACTCGAGCAAAGTACATTTCATAGCATGGGAATCAATGCATGTAGCAGAGATCCATCTTCGGATCATAAAGGGACAGACCTGATGGTTATAGAATTTTTACATCTTCATAATGCAGGCCACTCAGAGCATCCAATCCACTCTGTATAAAACAGGATTTATAACACATTTTCACACGTGGGTAGGTTTTTGTGTTTATAACATAGTTTTTTTGGTTTTTAACACATCCTCAATTGATAACTATCAGGAAACGGGATGCAGTCAAGAAAATTGCTCGATTCCCCCATCAACACAGTCAGTGTTGATGGGGGAATCCCTCCTGTGAAGCCATTGTGTTCCCCCGGTAGGGGTGTGGGGGGAGCCATCCCCACTGGAAAAACAGTGACAACTTCTAGTGGCTATAATAGCCGCTAGCAATAACCGCATGGTAAATACAACCGGCTGATTGTACCCAAGCTAATCCATCGATCAACTTAAGTACATTCAGCCTGCCTATACGTAGTTCAAATCTCGCCCGATATCTGCTGAACTGGCTGAGATTCAAACCGTCTGTGGCTGGCCTAAAGTGGTTGTAAAGCCTCAAGGTTTTTTACCTTCATGTATTCTATGCATGAAGGTAAAAAACCTTCTGTGTGCAGCATCCCCCCCTCCCAGCCCCTCCTAATACTTACCAAAGCCCCCTCTTGATCCAGTGATGTGCACTGGAGTCTTGGCTATAACCAGACTCCCTCTCCTCAATGGCAGAGACAATCAGGAGCCATTGGCTCCCACTGCTGTCAATCATAGCTAATGAGAAGATAGAGGGGGCAGGGCCGAGCCACAGCTTCATGTGTGAATGGACACATGGAGCAGCAGGTGCCCCCATAGCAAGCTGCTTGCTGTGGGGGGGCACTGACGAGGGGAGGGGCCAGGAGCACCGTCAGGGGACCAGAGAGGAGGATCCGGGCTGCTCTGTGCAAAACCACTGCACACAGCAGGCAAGTATAGACCTGTTTTGTTATTTAAAAAAAGAAAGAAAAAAAAAGCCTTTAGAATCACTTTGACTTTTGATGTGTGGAGCTACAAGTTATTACAATGAAACCGTCCTCTAACTTTTTAAGAGGTGCTTTATTTGAATATATATTTGAATATGGCCAGAATGTTTTTTTTATATGACAATATACGTTGTACTCTGTGGAACTAATTTGTGCACATTTATATCTGAAGTCTTAAAGAATTTACACAAAAAATGGTAACGTCTGTATGGTAGCCTCAAACCCTGACACCATAGCATCACACACACACACGACTTACACAAAGTATTAAAAGACCACTCCTCTTGGTTCATGGAGGCAGTGTTTAGCCGCTCCCCAGACCTTGTTTGTGCCTTTTTGTTTTTTGCCATATGGACTGTACAATACAATACATTTGCAAAAGTATGATGTGTTAGTAGCTGTAGAAGTATAAAACCTTTTCGTTTAGCTCCCAGTGATCACGACGGCATGGTAAGGATAGCTTAAATATAATGTGCTTCACATCAAGTATCCACTAGGTGGTGCTGTAGGGCAACAAAATCTGACTTGAACACCTTTAATGTTTTTTCATTGTTTGTACTTTGATAGTTGTCGCTCTGTGGATTTGGATTTAAATCAAGCACATCTCGACAGTGCTCAGAAGAAAAAAGGAGGAAAGGTGTTTGGGAGTCTGGAAAGAGGACTAGATAAAGTCATTACAATGTTGACACCAAGCAAGCGTAAAGGTTGTACAAGAGATGGACCCAGAAAACTCAGGGTATACTTTTTTATTTTAATTGGATTTAATGTATATCACATCTATAGGCAGCACATCTATAGGTGCGCCTTTTTTATCTTTTTAAGATGTTTTTAGATCTTTCATCAACTCGTTCGAATATTAGCTTCTTGTAATCCTCTATGTAGTAAGACTCGGACAAGGATAGGGATGGGCAGCTAGTAAGACAATCAAACTCTACTACACTGCACAGTGCTTCCAAAGAATGAGCTGGCTGATGGGAAAGATCTCATTTAGCTGCTGCTCATTCACTAGCCACTCACAGGCTGGGGAAAAACATGTTGGCAGTTGCTTTATTTGCAACACATTGCGCGGGATTTACTAAAACTGGAGAGTGCAAAATCTGATGCAGCTGTACATAGAAACCAATCGGCTTTCAGCTTTTATTGTCAAAGTTTAACTGAACAAGATGAAGTTAGAAGCCAATTGGCTACCATGCACAGCTGCCCCAGATTCTGAGTGATCCAGTTTTAATACATTAACCCCATTTAGTCAGCGTGCTGCCATTTTTTGCCAACAAGTGGTTAGTTTTTGTTTGTTTTTTTAATTATGTATGTTGGGGTAAAACAAACAGAAAATTATATATTCTGTTTATATTTTAATTTTTTTGCACACACTTATAAATTATACGCAAATGTTACTAAAAATTGCCTTTGTAGTCCAATCTACAGCCAACTATGATTATTTTAAAAGTGACAAAATACACATTTCTTGTTTGGGGCATTTTGTACACAGTCAACCCGGAAATGTAATTTTCTGCTTATTTAATTGGCTTCCTGCTGTTGCAGCAGTTTTTGTCTTATTAGTGAGGTTATTTGTACTTTGATCTGGATAATTTATTTCCTTGGTTTGGGCCCAAAGCCCTGCTTGTTGACTACTCCCTGACCAATAAGAGTCACCAAATTTGTGGTCTGTTACGATGGCAAACAGATTCACTTTACATATTACAGTCTCTTGCCACAGCAATATTATACAATTTCATATTATCAAGAATGTTCGGTAGACATATGAGGAAAAGGTATTTTATCTGTTATTTTGGCTATTTATAGCTGTAGCTCTTTTTTTAGGTTTTTTACATTGTATCAGAACAGGGTGTCTTTTGTATGGGGAATGGTAGTTTATTGGTATTTTGTCTGCAATTGTTGTTGGTGTTTTGTCTGCAACACCTCTGCAGGCAAGCAGTAGTATTGCAGCTGGTTCATTAACCCCTTGCCTACAGGGCACTTATACCCCCTTCCTGCCCAGGCCAATTTCCAGCTTTCAGCGCTGTTGCACTTTGAATGACAATTGCGCGGTCATGCAACACTGTACACATATGAAATTTTTATAATTTTTTTTGTGACAGAGCTTTATTTTGGTGGTATTTAATCACCTTGGGGTTTTTTATTTTTTCTTAAACCACTGAAAATTTTGTAAATAAGTGATTTTTCTCCTTCACTGATGTGCACTAATGAGGCTGCACTGATAAGCTACACTGATAGGTGGCACTGAGGAGGCACTGGTAGATGGCACTGATGGGCATTGACAGACATCACTGATGGGCACTGATAGGCAGCACTGAAGGGTGGCACTGACTGGCACTGATGGGTGACACTGAAAGGCAGCTCAGATGGGCACTGATACGTGGCACTGATGTAGCACTGATGGGCACTGGCAGGTGGCATGGATGAGCACTGAGAGCTGGCACTGATGGACACTGACAGGTGGCACTGCTGGGGCTACACAGATCATCAGGGCACCCTGATGATCAGTGTACATGTCCCCTCCAAGGAATGCTGATTACCAGCTCTCCTCTCGAGCTGTCAGCGGCATTTCCCTGTTTACATGTGATCAGCTGTGATTGGACATAGCTGATCACATGACCGAGCCAACATCTTCAGCTCTTTCCGTGGATCGGTGATCCGCTGTGTCCGAGGGACACAGCGCACTGCTGATCACCGCGCTGCGTGCTCCAGGAGCCACACATGCGTGGTTAGAATGGGAGGACATCATATGACATCCTCCCAGAACGAGAGAACCACCTTGCGTCTGTCAATACTATATGGCGGGCGGGATGCGGTTAAAATAACAATAACCTAACAAAAAGGCATGTTGGTCTTTCTAGGCAGCACTGTTGTCACAGACTAAATCCCTGCCTTACAGGGATCAAAATTCGGCAGGTTCAGCGGGGACCAGCTGCATTTTTACCGGTGGATGAGCAGTCCGGTTGTTTACAAGTTGATCTTTCAATCAGCAGATCTGTTTTTTCCCCAAACGATTAGTGCTGCCAGCTATAACTGAGAGAACACAATAGCACTGTAGGAGGGATTCCCCCATCAACACAAACTGTGTTGATGGGGGAATCGAGCGATTGGATTGGAAAGGAAAATTGTATAACCTATGGTACTCATTTAGAAGTGTTAGAACAATACAAAAATATCTCCATTTGTTTTGCAGGCCCATTATAACGTAACAATGACCACTTTACTGAATCCTGACCATATACTCAATGAGCTGACCAGAGTTCTTCCAATGAAGAATGTGGATTATGTCCAGAAGGGGTAAGTGATGTACAGTCACTGAAGTTTCAATAATTTATTTTGTTTTATTTTGTACATAGTCTCAAAGGAGATTTTAGCCAAAGAAAAACAATTCTCTGTGAATTTGAAATGGAGTTTTGTCAGAAAAGGTTTCATAAAATTTTTCTGTCCATTGCCAGATCTGTGAGAAATGTTTTAAAAGAAGTCTAGTGGGCACATATTTTTGGTGTTACAATGTTTTAAAAGTAATTTTTTACTTTTCATATTTCAAAGCTTGTTCTTTACTAATTTCTTTATTAGAATACCAAAAATGTAAGACTATTCAGTAGAAGTTCTATATTTGACAGTTTTTTGTTTTTGTTTTTTTTTCAAACTTGGTGTTTGAAGGAAAATTATAAAGGTGCTGAGTCAGTTTTATCCATTTTGTTTTTTTTACCATTATATGTTTTTCTTAAAGTATACATTTATACACCGGCTTTGTTTTACATAGAAGCCTAATCTGGTATATAGGATTCCAAAAGCACTGAGTTAGCCAAAGAAGGAGCACTGCAGACATAGCATGCTTTGATAGAAACCCTTTGCTGAGCTCTATGGAAGAATGAGTCACTGTTATAATGATTGACTCTTGCTCTGTAAACAATGGCCTTCTTTCAGCACAGATGAAAGTACCTGAATATATGCCAAGGCTGAATATGATGTACAAATACTAAGAAGCAACATTTGTTCCCAACTTTAAACCCATATTGATGACATTTACAGAATATCAAGTTCTTAATTTTTTTCACTGTAAAGACGATACACATTACTATAAAAATCAATGCAGTACTACCTGAGCAATGCATAAAAATACATGCAAATCCTAGTCTGAAAGCGTAGACTTCTTATAGAGTTACAGTCAGCCTTTTAGCTTTTTCCCTAGTACTCCCTGAAGCAGACATTGTCTAAACCCAGGAGGCTTAAGATCTCCATGGAAACTAAAATATAAATGTGCTGCCCAAACTTGCTACTGCTTACCCTCTTTGCTCCAAATATGTCCTATCGGAACTACCATTTGTGCCTTGTGTGCCAAATTTTTGCAATTGCTGTGTTGGATAACAATTTCCCTTTTGTTTTGCTGCAGTACTATGTTTTAACAGCAGGTGGCACTGCAGAAAAAAATAAGTAGTATGTGCATCTAAAATCTGAAAGCAGTGTAACGTAGGTTGTTCCTGAGCTGGGAAGGTTCTGTCAACCAAAGATGAATTCGAGTTTTCTTGGCAATCCATTGTATATAAACTCATCACCCACAGAGCTTGGGCAAAAGAGCAAGCATGAAGCCAATTTCCTGATTTATTTAGAATTCTGAAGTGTAAGCTAAAATTGCTTCAGCAAACCACTGCAAGAATGAATATTGAGTAATGCGGTCTCCAATTGATGAGGGCTTTTGTAAACATTTTTGCTACTATTTAAAATTCAGGACTGCTTTAGCTTTTATGACTACATGTTAATTTTTATTTCTAATTGGCTATCTGCCTTTTAATGTTCTATAGGTATACCCTAAAATGCAAAACACAGTCTGACTTTGGAAAAGTTACCATGCAGTTTGAACTGGAGGTGTGCCAGCTGAACAAGCCGGATGTAGTGGGGATTAGAAGACAACGTCTTAAAGGAGATGCTTGGGTTTACAAGAGACTTGTGGAAGACATTTTATCGAGCTGCAGGATGTAATGGTTACCTACTAAAAATTAGATGTTTCTAAAGAGGTCTCTTCTGTACTATATCTGTACATTTGTACAACTGTAGGGCATGAATTGTGCTGCAATAAGCAATTAGCTTTTGTGAATAATTGTATAAAAAAAATAGTTTTAATAGCGGTTTTATGTTATTGTTTAAATGTCTGTCCTGATTTATGTTTTGAAATAAAACACTAAAACAATAAACCACTAAAAAAAACCAATATTGGTCCTCTCACGCCCTTCATCAAATTCACTTTTATGAGAATTGCAACAGTGCAAGTAGCATTTTTCTCCCCTATCTGAAGATAGAATGCTGTACATAGTGATGACGAATTTGCATAATTCTTTTGCTGTCTCTGGTTCCTAAGTAGGATTTATTGAGGTCGTTAATTAAGCCACAGCTGTGGTTACTAGAGTTAAACTGTATGCTCAATATGTTGAGCAAAATAGGATTGACTCCAATGAATGTGTTCCGAAGTCAACAACATGCCAGGCTTCCAAGTATGAAGTTCAATGCTCTATAAAGAAATGTAAATTTATTAAGTTAAGGACAAACCAAACTAATCAGAGCAGTTTCTTATTAATTCTTCTGAAACCTGTAAAGGTCACCGAAGCCTTTATTCTCTTTGTAACAATGCCTTTTTCTATATTTTGTTTACATTTGATGCTTTACTTGTTTGAAATGGGGTGCTGCTTGAGGCTTTAAATTATTAGTAAAGATTGCATAGAACCTCAAAATCCACCCAATTTCTTCCAGCACTTCAGTGCTCCTGTACATGGCCTTACAAACAACCACACATACAGACATCCCTCACAAACAAAATGCCACAAGCAGCAGTACACCTTCAAGTTGCTATAAATATGGCCCTTCCCCACAGTATCTTCAGGTTAATACTCTTCTCTGGTCCAGCTTCTGCTGCTATATACTGTTCTCCTGGATCTTGGACTCTTTAGGGAGGAATACGATAACTTCAGCTAAACTTGCCCTTTTAACTTATCAATTGCAATGTGTCAGTGTGGGTGATTCCCTTTGGATTAGAGAAGGGACCCCACGCTACATTATGAAGCATTACTGATATATACAGTAATGTGCAAAAGTTTTAGGCAGGTGTGAAAAAATGCTGTAAATTAATGCTTTTAGAAGTAGAAGTGTTAATAGTATATTTTTTAGCAATTCACAAAATGGAAAGTAAATAAACAGTATAGAAATCCAAATCAAATCTGTATTTGGTGTGGATCCGCCTTTGCCCTCAACAGAACATCAGTTCCTCTAGGTACACTTGCACATAGTTTTTGAAGGAACTCAGCAGGTAGGTTGTTCCAAACATCTTGGGGAACTAACCACCGATCTTCTGTTGATGTAGGCTGCCTCATATCTTTGTCTCTTCATGTAATTAGATAGATTTAAGGATATTGAGATCAGGGCTCTGTGGGGGGCCATGCCATCTCTTCCAGGGCTCTTGTTCTTATTTAAACTAAATATAGTACTTAATGACATTGCCTGTTTGTTTGGGGTCGTTGTCCTGCTGCAGAATCAGTTTTTGGGTCCAGTCTCACAGCTCCCGGATGGTATGGCATGATGGATAAGTATCTGCCTGTATTTCTCAGCATTGAGGACACCATTGATCCAGACCAAATCTCCAACTCCATTTGCAGAAATGCAGCCCCAAACGTGCAAGAAACCTCCACCATGCTTCACTGATGCCTGCAGACACTCATTATTGTACTGCTCTCCAGCCCTTCAGCCAAATATTTCAAATTTTGACTCATCCATCCAGAGCATCTGCTGCCATTTTTTCTGTGCCCTTCCTATGTGCACAGTCCTATGTTTTCGTGCATAGTTGAGTCACTTGGACTTGTTTTCCATGTTGGAGATATGGCTGCTTTGCCACAATTCTTTCATGAAGACCACTTCTGGCTAGACATCTCTGGACAGTAGATGGGTGTACATCGGTCCCGCTGGTTTCCACCAATTCTGTGCTGATGGCACTGTTGGACATCTTCCAATGTCAAAGGCAAGTAAGCATGTCTGTCTTCTGCTGCATTAAGTTTCCATGGCCGACCACTGCATTCACGGTCCTCAGTGTTGCCTGTTTCTTTGTGCTTCTTCAAAAGAGCTTGAATAGCACATCTTGAAACCCAAGTCTGCTTTGAAATCTTTGCCTGGGAGAGACCTTGCTGATGCAGTATATCTACCTACCTTGTGTCTTGTTGCTGTGCTCAGTCTTACCATGGTGGCATGAAGTTGTCTTCCACAACCTCACCTTAGTAGCAGAGTTTGGCTGTTCTTTACCCAGTTTTAAGCCTATGCAGCTGTTTCAGTTAATGACTGTGTTTCAACCTAGTTATGACATTGATTATTAGTACCTGCTTGGTATAATTGGTTAATCATACACCTGACTCGAATACTACAACAGCCCTGACTTTGTGCAAGTGTAAGAATTGTTGGTTTAAAGCCAAAGGGTAGTCACACCAAATATTGACTTAGTTTAGATATTCTTCTGTTCGCTTACTTTGCATTTTGTAAATTGCTAAAAATAAACAATTTAAATATATATATTTTTTTTTTTAAGCATTCTTAATTTAAAGCATTTCTTCACACCTGTGTAGAATGTTTGCATAGTGTGTGTGTGTGTGTGTGTGTGTGTGTGTGTGTGTGTGTGTGTGTAAAATCTCCATATTGCCAAAAGTTTTGAGACTCCTGCCTTACACACACACGAATTTTAAGGGCATCCCAGTTTTAGTCTGTAGGGTTCAATATTCAGTTAGCCCACCCTTTTCAGCTATACCAGCTTCAACTCTTGGTGATTTTTAACACCTGAATCCAGTGATTTGGAGGGGTGTCCCAATGCTTTTGGTAAGATTGTGTGTATGTATATAAAATAAATGTCTCTGTGATGGAAATGCCCCTTGGTCAGTTTGAGAAAATGCCTACAAGCAATTCTGTGAGATGGTTCCACTGTATCAGTGGAAAATGATGCACCTTATTAGTGTACAGTGGTCATTTATGATGTTTGGATCTATATCCCACTCTGCTCCTTGTAGAGGTGTCTTGGTCCAGACTAAACAGGCACCATGTGAAAGGAGACCACTATGCGTGATAAGGTTTATTAGATTGCAGAATGAGGAATCTGATCATGATGAGTTGCCTTTTCCTGAAATTTCATTTAAGCTTAGGAATGTAATGGCTACCCTTTATTGACACTATATATTCTTGTTTAGCATTTGAGCAAGCAGAGTTTGCTCACTCCAAGGTCTCCCACATGGGGTCCCTAAAATGTCCCAAGCCTGCTAAAACCTTTCCAGTCTGCTCACTACTAGAGCCATATGCAGTAACTGGCCTCCCCCAGAAAAAGCTCTTTGCACCTCTAAAATGTTTTGCTCAGCAATATTCTGTTGAGGGGTTCATGCAAAATGCATGGACCCTGCCATCTCTTGTCTTAACAAAATGTTTCTAGTTCTGGTGAAAGTTGATGGCCCTTTCTTCTTTGGCAGGCTCTGCTATGCAACCGGCAGTTGTTTGATTGCAGTTTCCCAGGCACTTGCTCTCTGGACCAAATGCTTGGCCCAGGACCCTAGCTTCATCTTAACAGATTCTTCTCTTCACCAGCTAGAGCTTTTATACCTATGGCCTTACATTACAGCATGAATAGTTTAGAGGATATACTTTGCTATATTTTCACAATGAGTTTCCTCTTCATCTACAGTATGAGGAGCGCTCTTTGGCTTAGTTGTTGGTCAGCAGGACTCATGAAAAAAAACACATTAAGCATCTTCCCCTTGAGAAAGAATGCATATTTGGTCCCTCCTTGGATAAATACATCAGGGAGATCACAAGGGGCAAGAACACTCTCCTCACCAAGAAAACAAAGGTTTTTACTTCTGCTAGTAGATTTTCTGCTTCTGAAGCTAGGAAAAAGTTTATTTTGTTCCTCTCTGGCCTGCAGCTCTAAGTCTGAAACAAACTTGCTGGAAGGCATGATCCTCCAAGCCAAGTCTGTCTCCAATCAGTCTTCTCGGTGATGGGGCACTCCCACTTGTCAGAATGAAAGGGCATCTGTCAGCCTTTTCACCTTCTTGTCCCAGGAAATCCTCAGATGTTTTGGTCCAGAGTGTCATTTTCAGGGGCTACAAACTAAAGTTCAGGACTTGAGATGTCATGCTTTCAAATTTGCCCCTCCATCCACAAGGACAAGTGAATTTTCTTCTTGCCCTTCAATATGTCTTTTTGTAAAGTATTGTTCCACCCGAGCTGACCTTCCTTTTTTTTTTTTTTTTTTTTTTTTTTTTTTACTTGACTATTGCTAACCTATCTTTTGAACAGTGAAAAGAGCTAAAGCGTCAATGTTTGTTTTTTGTTTTTTTTCATGCTCACAATATGCCCATCTCCTTTTTGTACCTTTTTTCAAGTGCTAATTTTTTTTTTTTATACAGCTGTTGGGGGACCAATAGGAAAGCATTGTGCAACTTGGATGTGACTTGCTGAATGTAAAAAAAAAAAAAAAGGCAATATAAACAAAAAACCTGCATGCCCCCCCCCCCCCAATCATGCCAGGCACATCTGGTCTGGATTTTAAGGGGAACCCTATATCAACATTAAAAAAAAAAAAAACCTGTGTGGTCCCCTTAGTCCATACCAGACCCTTATCCAAGCATACAGGCCAGGAAAGGGGGGCGGGGAGATGAACGATCGCCTCCCCTTCCCCCAGCCACATGCTCTGAACTTGGTGGGGTGGTACTTTGAAGTAGGGGCTGTCCCTCCCAAAGCACTTTGTCCCTATATTTATGAGGACAAGGGCTTCTTCCATCCAACCCTGGCCCAGTGGTTGTGTGGGTGACTTATTGGAATCCAGAAGATCCTGGCCCCCCCACATGAGTATGGGGTACATAGTATCCCTTCTTTTTCACCAAATTTCAAATTAAATAAAAACACAGAAGATTCACCCTGCTGGGAGGGGGGTGGAGCCTGAACATGGCGGCACAGGAGAGCGG